AGGGGTAATGTCATTTACTTTCTGATGATTTCTTTGATGGTTTTTAGCAGGTATTGACTCTTTTGGACGTAATTTTGGCGATTCTTGTTCAGTAGGTGATTGTTCTTGTCCGAATAAATGTAACCAATGACCAACACAAGCAATCAATGAACTAGCATAAAGTTGTCGAAGCCAACACTCTGGAATTTGTTGGTATCCATAATAAGCACCAGCTAATTGACCGTATATGATTGCTGTAGTATCATTATTTTCTCCTAATCGAACGGCATCTGAAAATCCTTTTTCGAAAGAATTGTTATCATAGCAAAAGACCCAAAGAGCAGCTTCTAAGGTATCGACTATATATCCCTTTCCTCGAATGCCATCTTCATATCCACGAGGTCGCTTGTACGAGCCTTGAGCTATGCGAAGTATTTCTGGATGAAGTTCTTTTGCTTCGAACCAACTTCGATGATCTTCGTAGAAGTGATTATCTAACAATCTTTCTTTTTTTTCACCTCGAATAGCTGCAACAATAAGTGCTGCATAATATCGACAAGCATCTAACACTTTAATATTATCTTGAAACAGTGAAGCACTGCGTCCAGCATAATTAACGGCATCCTTAGGCGAACGAAAATAAAAGAGTGGTATAGGAGCAAGATACATAAGAACTCCACTTCCAGTAGTGCTTGTGGAACCACATTTTAAATTGAACTTTTTTATGGCACGAATTTTCTCAAGTGAAAGATCATCGACTTCTTCGTCAGTGTTCATATGATAAGCCTTTTTTAAAGTCTCTTGACGGCGACAAAATTCGTCTAATGCCTGACGTGTAGCATTATTGATGTTAAAAAATTGACCAGTGGATGAAAGAAAACCTTTTTTATACCACCATTTATAACGAACCATTTGGTTGTAAGGATCAAAACTTTTCTTAGTAATAAATGATGAAGCAAGACATAAACACATAGATGTATTATCTGTCCATTGTCCTGGATTTAGACTTTGTGTACCTCCTTTCTTTATACCAGTGACAGGACAATCCCCAAAATAATCACCTGAACGAAATCCAACACCAACTCCTAGTACATCGCCTACAGCTAATCCAAAAAGTGCACCCATTACTCGTTTAAGACTACTAGGTTTTCCTGAACTATTTTGTGGATATGTAAACATAATTTGATGTGGAAGTATATGATTTTGAGGAGAAGGAAATTGAATAGTTGACATTCTTCTAGAAATTAAATTCTAAAACATAAATAGGTTTTGAATTATTCTTTAGCTATTTGCATTATCCGTTGGAAAATTTTTAAATATTTAACTATACAAAATTAGAGTGATTTAGTTTTTACTCGCTATTAAATCAAATCTTAATATATGTAATGTCTTTATGATATTTTAATTCATCCAATCTTAATTCATTGAAAAATGTTCACCCCAGACTTAAAGAGGGACTTCTGTGTAGTAAAATAATTTAATAAGAGTAATAAATAGTTATCTATGGTTATTACTAAATGAATTGAACAGATGAAGATATAATTTCTCTGAATTTTGGACAAGACGAAGATTACATACCAATTAGATGCAGTTTTGATTTTGACCTCTGTTTTATATAGAGAAACATTAGATGTCTAGTCTAACATGCAATGCATTTCTTAAATTTGATTATATTTTCATCAAGATGTTAAGCTACTGTCATGAAAATTTTGAAAACCCAGCAAAAAGACAATGAAATACCTTATTATTGACGTGTTTCAATACATGATTCTATTTGTTCCACTATAAAATGTAAGGCAAAGACCATGAACCAGAAGTTTCACTTTCAATTAGTGAAAACTGTAGATTATTAGCTATTACCTATATCAATTTATTGCACTTAGAACAGTTCATCTAGAATTCCGAGCGAACAAGAGTTGTCTTAGTTTTTCGAATAACTCCTCTTTCAATTACTCTTTTCATTCTTTGTTCAGAGAGTGAATACAAACAATGTAAATTCTATCATATAGTAATATACCGATTAGTGATCACATTATTAGTCCTCACTGGAAATTTCTATTCTATTCAATATAATTTTCTATTAAAATAAAAATAAAACAAACATGTTACTATACAATATTCGATGTTATTATCAGTTGTAGTAGCATTCTGCACATGACATTTGACAAGTAAACTAATCGTTGCATAGAAATAAAATGAATAAAAGTAAATGTGAAACATTGTAAATAGTAAAAGCTAATAGACATAAAAAGCCTTCACAATGTAATAAATTGTTCTTTTCTTGTAATGCAAGTCAAACATATATTAAATAGTGTTCTTAAGGGGACCCTCCCCCTCAGAAATGAAGTCCCACTTGGGACCCTCCGTTTGGGCTGAAATTTTCATGGATGATTGATCTTAGTGAGAAACCCTTGTGATAAAAATTTCAGCTTGACATGTTCGACTAAATCGCAGTTTCAGATGCTTTTCCTACCTTTCAGGAGAATCGAAATCAGTCGGTCCACAGAAGGGATACAGAGGTCAGGCTGGTTTCCAATTGTAGTTAGCCTCTGTACGCAACTTTTCATCAGACGGAATTTTGAAACTCGCTTCCATTCATTTTTTATGCGCAATTTTGTGAGCATGCTTGCAAAATAAGGGAAAAAAGTGCGATTCTACGACAGTAAATTCCACTTTTCTCAGATCTGGGATTCAATATCGAAAATCCGTCTGATGAAAAGTTAGCTCTAATCAAGACCTTCAAAACAAAAAAAATCATAGGTCATATGCCGGACCAAGTAGGAGTGATTCCAATTTTCCTGTCTACAAAAACCATGATTTGAGAAAAATGCTAAAGAAATTTTAAAAGTGGATTTTTTATTAAAACCCAGAATAAGTCATGTTGCAGTGGTATATTCCACTGAACTATCTTAAAGAACGTCATGAATGGCGTCCGTTAGCTCCATCTGATATGGTGATTTGTGTGAAAATGTTCTATCCAACAATAGTCCTAATGGGAAGGCAATTTTTCTGAAACTGACAATCGTGAAGTTTTCTAGGAAAACATGGTAGTGGGTTTTAAGTTTCATGGGATAAGTCTTTGAAAACCCGATCATTTTTCAAAAACCTATATATATTCTGAAAGAGGAAGCTTCGCTGCATCATCCTCTATTAAAAACTCAACTTCGGTATTTGCCTGAAAAAGTCCATTTTCTGAGGGGGGATCCCCTTAAAGCTAAAAAAGAAAAAAAACAATATTGAATTTGCAGTACGAACTCGCTTTACTCAACCAAACTGATCTTTCTATCGTTTGGAAGTATATAAAACGTATAATAGATTATCATGTACATACTTTTGAACTTTTTAAAATTGAATTCATAAGAAAAATGAATGGCAATTTAATTGTGCGACTTGCGCATCTTCGAAAGAAATTTGCACTATTAAATCCACAGAATTTTTCGATAACATGAATTGCAACTTGTTACTATGTATTATACTCTAAGTAGAAGACTGATGACAAAATTACATACGTAAACAAAATAACTAATTTTTCTCTTTTATAAAATAAACCCAACTAAACATGTCGTCACAAATCAAAAAAAAAGTAAAAAATATAAGTCATCTTGCATGAAAGCTTTTTCTTGTAGGAATAAGTTTAAAAAAGATCTGTTAAAATAAAATTTTACTTTTCTTCAATTTTTATGACGCGATTGAAGGACTTCATTTAATACTTACTTTTATTTTGTGTTATAGAATTTTTTTTTTCGTCGTTAAATATGATTTAAACTATGAAATAATTGTTAGCAAAACTATAAATAATCAATGAATTAACTTGAAGAACATCTCTTATCGTGTAGTATACTTTTATCTCTCACTTTTTTCAAGATCTTATTCAATATAAAAAAGCCTCAAGAAAAAAATGTTTAACGAGGAATTTTCATATAATGATTGATCAATATGTACATGTTTTTTTTGATCATGCTATTACTATCAAATCATTTCTTTAGAATAGATATTATTTAGCTGTAAATGAACTAAATGAATTCGAGTGCGTCTTATTTAGTATTTACAAGTAGTGAGTTCATAAATTAGGAGAGTAAGAGAGAAAACGTTCAAAAAATCATGTCAAAATTCAACGTTTCTCAATAAAAACGGGCGTCTCTGTCTCTCTTTTTGACAGTATTTTAAAAAATTAACTTAGTTCCTTGGTGTTACAGAATTAATATGGAAAATCTCTTTCTCAAGGTATATAAACAGAGAAAATCAATTTTTGAAAAAAAAATTTGGTCTTTCGCCTTTTATTACATATTCATCGAAATTATGTAAGTAAATGCGTCGATAATGAAAAACTGTTCATGGATTTAAAAAAAACAGTTAAACATATCATCTTCTATGAAAGAATTAAGTTCATATAACAAATCTAAAAGTAATCAATTCAAGTGTTTTGGAGAATCTCTTGTTCTAACTAATGACATCGATGTGAAGCTAGCACGACGACCAAATGAAAACCGACTGTGCCACTGACCAATCCCTACCAATCCATGTTTTACCATATACCATCCATAAAATACCACCATGAAACTTCTTAGGAACCCACTACAAAATCCTATAAAATCAAAATTATTCACTCCGCCCCTTCCCCACAACTCATACCAAAATAACAAAAATTACAAAAAACACCTCCCACCCCAACACCGGGTTCCTGTCTCACCCATCAAATATGCTCCTTAACGATATTGATATCCATCCCTGTGGACTTATCTTCCATTGTAAAAAGAGGATGAGTACACCAATGAATAGAGGATTCAATTTTCTACAAGTTGATGTATTCAATGTAGAGGAAATTGATTTTGAGCGGGCGTCTTAAAAGAAGAAACGACGGCAGTCGCATGTTTCACATGGGGAGGTCGGATATTCGTACGGATGCATGTGCTGTCAATTTCCGTTGGAAAGATGGTATGAATACACTATTTGATCGAGAATTAAATTGTCCGCAAGTTGAAGTATGCGGCATAGAGAGAATCGATTTTTTACGGGGGTTTTGTAGGAGGAAGAAGACCCTACCGACAGATATAATTATGTTTACGTGACATATTGAGAATGATTTTTTGTGGAAGGTAGTTTTCATGTGAAAAACTTGAGTAACGTGTCACTGGACGGAGAATTGGAGCCATTACGTTATGATTTCGGTGTTGTTTTTGTTGATGATCAATTGGCTATCTTTTTATGCAGTGTGTTGATGTATGTGTGGCTTTGTTTGTTTATGAAGGATTGGTGTTCTTTGATTGTTTCGGATATTGTTAAATTATTGTTTTGCTTTGATGTACTATGTGTGTGATGTAATCGAATTATGTCGATGGAGAGTTTATATATTTGGGCGTCTCGTTTTTACTCTCGTATAAACATTATTTTACTTTTGTCACTATGAAAATGTTCTTATTCGATTTATGCGTTATGTGGTGTTGTGTTGGTGTGTTGGTGGCTGCTCCTATCTCTGATGTAAGTTACAGTATTAATGTTTTCGATCGATTTGAATTTGTCTGTTTAGCACATTGTATTTAAAAGCTTCGAGGAGTATAATTCGACGTTAGTAACACCTTCAAATCCGCCTGCTGAAGCGACCACAACTACGGCAATGTGGAATACATTGGCAACTACTAGTAAGTCAGGTTTCTTTCCGAAGGGTCTTTACGAATGGTTGTCCAGTGGATTCAACATTGTCGTAAGTGTCGTTACATCAGGAGGATTTGTTGGTAGTTGCTGGTGTGGGATTAAATGTATTCGTAATGGTTGTGTTTTTAAGGCAAGTTCCATATATGCTTTTGAAAGTTATAGTTTTTTAATCTTTGGTCGCATTTTAGCGTTCGTGGTGTTACTCGAAATCTTTGGCTGAACATCGTCGAAGAAGAGATATTAGAACAGGTAAATGAAAATCTGGTTTTTTCATTTATATGACTGTTTTTTATAGGAAAGAAAATTTGCATGATTGAAATTGGTAACAACATGCCAACTAATCGATTGAGAAGGAGTGACTAAAAAAAGAGAGAGTACTCATAAAAATAATTAGAACACGGCAACTATGTATGTATTGACATACGATAGAGAAACACTTGATAAATAATCTTCACTAGGTTATCAGTCATTAAAAAGACAAATTTCTAAATAAGTGCTACACTCGTTTCAACAAACAAAACATTGAAAAATGATCAAAATACATTGGAGAAAAGAAAAGATATTTCAATGTGTTCTATGTC